GTATATATTAACATTAGATATGAAATACCATGAACAAAATTATAGTAAACACGTAATAACCATCGAGTCGAGTACTCTCAAAATAACATAAAAGTTTCGGTATTTTGTAGAAAACTTGGAGCTCACGCGTTACTAAGTTTTTATTAAGTTAAGTCTAATTAATGAAATTGAATTTCGACACGGGTCTCTTTTCATTGTTAATTAATGTTTATATTGGTTTGCTAACCATCTCTCTAATATAGATTTTATGAAATCTTTTTTTTTATATATAAAATCAAGTGACGGGACAAACAAGTCATGCGCGTGATGGTAAACTACACTCCTGTTCATAACAGTTGCAGTGCCACTTAGATCTGCGGGGCACTATAATACCATAATAACTGCCTCCGTGGCCGAACGGTTACCATGCCGGACTGCCATGCAGAGGTCCTGGGTTCGATTCCCAGGCCGGGAGAAATATGTGTATGGCCTACATTTATTTCTCTCGTGAGTTTGGGTGTAATTTGTGGTTGTCTATGTGTGTGTCCATGGCACCCGCGACACAGGGTTTCCCTAGTGTTGGGCTATGTTGAGTGTGTGCGTTATTATTATTATTATTATTATTAATGCCCGTCACCATGAGACTCAAGTTGACAAGTCCCATGTGCCTGTAATTTCACCGCCCTTCGAAACCGGAACGCAATAATGCTGACATTACTGCTTGGTGGCAGAAATAGGTAGGTACTGCGGTACGTCTCTGGACGAACTCTTTCACAAGGAGCTCTACTGCTACTAAACAGTTACATTCGAAAAAGAACTCTATCGCAGTCTTCATTTTATTCTCGACATAAAGTCATAAAACAAAATAAACCAATATAAAATTGAAATACAAAAATATCTTTATTTCATACGTGAAGAGATTACATTTTTGTTTAACAAACACTGGAACTAATTTGTTAATCAAATTCACCTGAAAATAATGTTCGAGAAAACTTTAGTGGTTGAACTTTGTAAACACTTAGACAGGAAATGAAACTATCTTTTTCGGATATAAATTGCATGTTTTTTTTTTTTTTTCAAACAAACAAATTTTACAAACACACAGAGAAAACAAACAGATTCCATGGTCACTGTTGTCGTTTCCTATGTGTAATCATCGCGAAAACCTGACAACTATTATAATAGTTTACGTTAGACTGAAACGCGGTTGTGGCGTCAAACGAACGTATTTTATTCAGTTACTTTTAAGCGTTTGTATGTGTGTTTGTGACGTAGTGTAGTAGTGTAGTAGATCCATTAACCCGTCATGCGTCATTGAGACATAAGGTGTACTTGATGATTTTGATGCTGTTGCATCCCAGAGCCACACGGTGTGTCTAATGCGCAGTTGCCTTCATAAACCATTTTAAAAAACATGTATAATAAAAATTGTAAAAATTTACGAAAATTCATTAAATAATTTAAAAACATACACATAAAATAAATTTAAAAATTTCTAAAAATAATTGGGGTTAACTTGTCTGCCCAAGACGCGTAACGAGTTAAAAATATTGTGCATTTTTAAAGCATTAGATGATGTTAGAAAAAGAAAAAGAAGCTGGGTTCCACTCAACAAGGAAATATTAAAATGTGGGCAGTTCCTTATACTATATGAAAGTTTTTGTAACCATCCAAATCAATTTGTAAAATACTACCACATGCTAATAAATGTTTCCTCAACTTCCTTCCCTTACCCCTCTCCCCACCCGCACAAGCACGTCACACAGTGCGACCGAAAATCGTAATTGCTCGCGTGATTTGGCAGACAATTCATTTTAGCACAAACCGATCTCATATTAAAGGAACCGAATGCAGCGTAAATTAAGCGACTCAAAAAACATGAAACAAACTCAAAAGGTCACGCTCGTCTGCCTTACTCTATGTCTTTCTACAGCCCTACCTACGCCTCACCGTTCCTAACACGATATTACTTGTAGATATACGGGTGACTTCACGAATGATATCCCGTTCGAACCACAAAACTCCTGAAACTCGTTTGCGGTAAAACACGTGCCATTATCGCTTACTAATGTGGACACATTTGGAACGCCATAAGACAACGTAAGTTTATGTCTCGGTATGGCGTTCCTTGTAGTTTTTTATTTACATAAAATATTAATAGTATTCAACCCATTTTGTGTAAGTATTGGCAAATAACTTCTATGTATAATAATTGTATTATACAATTGTAAAGAAGTCCAGTTTGTATTTAATATTTTAAATGAAAAATCAATCATATTGAACACACCCTCTTAAATTTAAAATATCAATATAATTGATTTTATCTAATCTTCTCAATAGCTGAACCAGTTTTGATGTAATTTTGGTGATGTTTTTTTTTTTTTAATTTATTTATTCAAAACCAACTTAAACTAAAAACTTATATTAAGACTACTTTCAAAAACCCTTCAAAGGGTTTATGCGAAGGTAGAATGCATCGCATACTCGCCACTATTGTTATGGGTCCAACATACAACCCAAGTAATACTTTTTTAAAACTTGTTAACATTTTTTTACATTTATAAACATATTCTTTATGCAATTGTACTGGTATTTTATTTACAATTTTTGGTAATATGTACTTTGTAGTCCTCATACCGTAAGTATTGGTGATTCTAGGTAGTTTAAACTCAGGTAGGTAGGTAAGGGTACGTAATTTATTAAGCCTGTTTGTTTTTGTTAATAAATTGACATTTTCAAATTGGTCCAGTAATATTGACACATTCGACTTGTTAAAGACCGACATTACCTTACAGTGGTTAAAAAGACCGGGATCGTTATCCTTATATTTGTTTTTTATTTTATTTGATACAATTGTCTTAATTATGCTAACTTGTAATTTATATATATTATCTAGGTACGATTTATAAGTACGCCCGAAGCTACTGAGCCCATAATCAATAATTGAGTCTGCCAAAGCAAGGTACAACGTTCTAAGTGTATAATATGGTAACTTGTACTTTAATATGGAAAGTTTAGCATTGATAGACCTGAGCTTGTTAGTAACGCTTTCAATGTGTGGACCCCAGTTGAAAGACTTATCTATAATAAGGCCTAAATAAGTATGCTGCTCAACTATCTGCAGAGCCAGACACGTACAGGCGGGCGCGGTGCTGGAGCTGATGGAGGACTGATGATGCAGGCAGGTATTAGGCTATATTTATTTTATTTCAATTGATTAACAAATAAAAAAGATATTTATCAGTCTTCAAGTATGTCTGACATGACGCGTCTACAAGTCAGGAGGACGAAGTGCGTGCGCTGAACAAAGGATTAGAGATACGTGAAAATAGTGTTATGCAATAACCTTTTTATAAAAAAAAGCAGACCCCTAAAGTCCGTGGATTTACATCTATTTGTCAAGTTTTATTGTAATCGGTTACCGAAAAGTGCGCGAAATCGGTTTCATCCCCTAGTTTGGCAACCTCAGAGGTAAAATATTATATTCAAATTTAAACGGAATCCATACTAAGGTACCTTCTTTCCCAACAAAAAAAGAATCATCAAAATCGGTCGACAAATGCCTGAGTAAGGCTCAACTCAGACTGGCGCAGAGTCGAAGCGTCGCGTCGCGTACTGTTTTTCACTACAACGCCTGGCGACGCGCGACAATGCTCGCATTAGTGCGTCCGGATCACAGTGTGGTCGGCGTCTGACGCCTCACTGCGCCCAATAATGCGTGTCGACGTGTGAAGCCGCTCGACTGCAACCAAGCGTCGACGCTTGACTCCATATTTGCATAACACAAATTTGTACCTTAATAATGGGAAAATAGAGATGAAGATGCTGTAGGCGAAAAACATGACGCGTCACGCCACGACGTTCGACGTTCGACTCTGCGCCAGTGTGAGTTAAGCCTAATAGGGTGCCTTTTACGCTATTACTCACACAAAAAATACAATCGAATTGAGAACCTCCTTATTTTTTTTAGTCGACTAAAATATTAATCAACAATAAATCTTCAAAAAAGTCAGCGACACAATATATTTAGCTTTTGTACAAGGCACAGTAACGGTTTAAATATTAAAATAAAATTGAAAATTATACTAATTATAGTTTTTGTTGCTCGCAGCAATAGACGGGCGACCATCACGAAAATCGTCACTGAGATTCGCACGACCGCGTTTGAATTCTGCAAACTGGCTATAACTAGTCGTCTTGCATGGTGCTTCATCGTCAAAAGCAGTTTGAAGCCGAGTGAAGGTTCGCTGAGCGGTTACATTACACTTAAAGTCGTAGAAAATCATACTACGAAAATTTTCACGAGTTAAATTCATGATGCTATGACAATGTAAAAACAAGTGACAGTGTGCAGTGCCGACGCTCTTCGATCCTCTGCTTTATTCTTCCTTGGATATCAATGAAACTCCTTAATTTGAAGTGGACTGTATGTTTATTCAAAATGTCAATCTGACTTACGAAACAAGAAATTGTAACAAGTGCTTCCATGAGTGAATACAAAAAGTGAATGAATTACAAACCAAAATTCGCCCATATTTATACCGGCACGATGTCTCCCACATCGTACCGGTCCTATCAATGGGTCGCTACGCCGCTCGGCCAATCAGAGCTCTCGAATTAATCATTCTGTTCTGGACTCTAGCTCTGACCGGCCAGGCGCGTACGGCCGTCCGTAACATTCTCCCCTCAGCGAAGTCTTACGAGCTAAGGCTAGGTAAATAATGGAAAAAGAATAAAATAGAAATAAAGAAAAACAAACGATCTAGACGGTAAACAATCAAATCAACTTAAAACTTATCCTACGTGTAAAAGTAAATACAAATCTTATTCTAAACATAATCAAAACGAAACCTAGCCTAATCATTTGGGGAGGACGGCCAACTTACGCGCCGGACGCCTAAACACACCACCCCGTGTCCTAACTTCTACGCTCCTAACCGTGCCGTCGGGGCCCGGGTAGATTTTGACTACTTCCCCGCGCGGCCATACGTTCCGTGGTAGCGTAGAGTCTACTATGAGGACTAAATCTCCGACGGTGAGATTCCTGCTTGAATCGGAGGGTGACCCGCGAGGAATGAGTTGCGGTAAATACTCCCTAACCCATCTGCGCCAGAAACTATCTGCCAACGCTTGCGCCGCTCGCCATTGTCGTCTATCTGCATTCTCACACGTTCCGATTCGTACAAGAACGCGGGCCCTATGAACCATCTATCGCGGCTAGTTTTCATATCGGTACTTATTCGCGTCGCGTCGTCCGCTACGTTATCCGCGGTCGGCACCCATCTCCATTGGTCGACACGGGTAAGCTCAGAGATATCGCTCAATCTGTGCGCTACGTAAGGAGTATAACGCGGCTTATCGTTCCTTATCCAGTGAAGTGCGGTTTTCGAATCCGACCAGAATATCACTCTATCGATGGGTACGCGGTGTTCCCGTAGTATGGAATCGGCCAGACGCGCGCCTACAAGGTTCGCTTGTAGTTCTAAACGTGGGATACTTGGCGCGCGAATCGGGGTCACCTTGGCCTTCGCCGCGGCGAGGGTGACCTTGACCTCTCCATTCCTATACGTTATACGCCAGTACGCGGCCGTCGCGTATGCTAACTCACTGGCGTCGCTGAACACGTGTAACTGCGCATTCGTCGTGTCCTTGTTAAAACCGTACTTTCGATCTAACCGTAAGTCGGCTACCGAGTCCATATCACGTAGCCAATCTAAAAATTCGCGATTCTCCGTCTCGGGCAAAACGTCATCCCAACCTACGTTAGACCTCCATACGTTTTGCAGTACTATTTTCGCCCTGATCGTAAAATAGCTAAGTAAGCCTAGAGGGTCGAAAATTGACATGACTGCGCTGAGGGCCTCGCGCTTAGTAGGTCCTCTTTTCAGCGATCGTACCTCTCGCGGCACCCTATTCATGGCCGTGTTGAAGCGAAGTTCGTCACTTGAGGCCTCCCATAACAGCCCTAACGTTTTCCCCGCTCCGTGAGGGTCGCTTCCGCCTAATTCCTTGGCCGCGCGGGCCCTAGCTTCTACCGGTACGTGTTCTAACACGAGCTCGCTATTCGAGTTCCAGCCCGCTAGCTGGAATCCTGCCCTCGCTTGCACCGTCACTACTTCGGCGACTGCTTGCACGGCCTTAGCTTCGTTCTCGTAGCTGTCCACCCAATCGTCCATATAATGATTCGATGTGATCGCGTCGAACGCTACGGGATAAAATTGCGCGTGTTCCTTAGCGTTTAAGTTTCTAACGCTATGCGCCAGGAACGGGGAACTTCGAGCACCGAATATCATCGAAGTCATTTTATAACGAGTGGGCGGTTTCGTTCTATCGTCTCCTCTCCATAGGAACATTTGGGCGGGCTGATCGGCTTTGCGTATCTTAATACGCATGAACATCTCGCGTATGTCCTCCGATACGGCTACGTCGCGTTCCCTAAAACGGAATAATACGCCCGGCAACGATCGTAACAAGTCGGGCCCGTCTAAGAGCTTGTCGTTCAAGCAAGTGCCGTTAACAGTGGCGGCGGCGTCGTGTACTAAGCGCAATTTGCCCGGCTTATTTACATTCCGCACGGCGAAATGCGGAAGGTACCAACCGATCGGGCTGTCCGCTTCGTTTCCCTGACACGGCTCCGCATACCCCTTGTCTAAAAGGTTCTGCACCTGCGCTTTGTATTCGTGTTTAAATTCCGGCGACGCGTCCATTTTCCGTTCGATCGTTCGCAGCCTGCGGAGCGCCATATCGTAGCTCGGCGGCATGACAACTACGTCGTCTTTCCACGGCAGTCCTACCTCGAACTGGTGGCCTATTCGCTTCGCGGTTCGCGTGAATATGTCGAGCGCTCTTTCTTCGCTGCGCGACGGCTTCGCTACTTTTGAAATTCCTATACTGTCTATAGCGAAGTGTCGTTTCATACGATCCTCGAGCCGTTCGTCGAGATTGTTACAAGTGCGCGATATGTCCGCTCGGTACGTATATGCATGAAAGACGTTTTCGTTCGCGGTCGAGTTAATAACTTTCGGTACCGTTCCGTGTACCGTCCAGCCCAAGCTCGTGAGGGAAGCGACCGGTTCGCGGCGCCCTCCTACCAACAACTGACGCGACACGATCAAGTGCCAGTTATCGGCCCCTACCAAGATGCCTGGTTTCACGTTATTATAGCAAACTTCCGACCTATCGAGACCTCGTAAGTGCGCGTATTCCAAGCACGACGAGTCTATAGTCTGTCTCGCTAATTTCAAGTTATGTACGGTTCGCGCAATAACTTTGTGACTTTCACCCGATTTTCCACATATACTTAACTCTACGGCCTTACTAGTCGGTTCGCTCTGACTAGACCCTAGTCCGTGAATACGTAGTTTTCGCGTGGGCCCGTCGGCCCCTACGCGGTCCGCTATTTCCGCGTCTATCAAAGTGACGGTCGATCCCTCGTCAAGTAGAGCGTACGTATTTGCGCGTTGCCCGTTAGGCCCTATCACGCTAACTGGACACACCTTCAGCAAGACCGATCCGCTGTTTTCCTTTACCAACACCGATGTGTTAAGAACCGTCTCGACCTTCGGTGTCTCGGGTTTCGAAACCGGCTTACGCTGCGTGTGCAACAAAGCGTGGTGCGGGGAGTCACAGCCGTCGACTCCGCACGACTTTGCCTTACAGTTGAAGCGGCGATGTTTCTCCACTAGGCACTTGAAGCACACGTACGCCTCCTTGGCCCACTTCCAACGGTCCTCCACTGTCATGGCTGAGAACTTCCAACACCGCGGGACCGAGTGATTGCCGCCGCAACAAAGGCAAACCGATTTCCTTGGCTCCTTGTTTTCCGCGGTGGCGTTGTACACGTTCTTACGTTCGGGGCGGCGCGTACGCGGTGGGCGGGGCTTAGGGTCGTGCCTCCCTGGCGCTGTTTCTTTTGCGGCCGAGTGTAAATACCGAATCGCCAGGTCCCCTTCGCGCATTAGAAACCGCGATAGCTTGACGATCTCGGGTTCGGTTTCCATTCGGTGTTCGTCCGCGTACTCGCACCACTTGGTCTGCCGGTACGTGTCGAGCTTTTCTACTAAGTCGCGTACTAGCGTGGAATCATACAAGTGCCAGTGGGCTAAGTTCCCTAATACGCAGGCGACATTCTGCACCTTAACGGCGAAGCTGTTTAAACCCGTTGCCGTTCCGTCGGGTCGCGGCAAACGCCTAAGCTCGCTAACGGTGCGTTCCACTATGAGTTCCGGCTTACCGAAACATTGCTCTAACGTATCCATAATTACGGACGGATTCGAAGCCGTGTACAGGAGCGCAGCGACTGCTTCTTTCGCTTCTCCCTTCAGGCTGACTCGTAAGCGCGCCAAATTCTCCGCGTCTGAGAACTTGTACATACGGGTCGAGTCTATCATCGCGCGCTTAAACGGGAGCCAATCCGTGTAGGCTCCGGTGAAAATTGGCAATTCCTGCGCCTGTCGCGGCGGTGGGCGAAACATTGCCATTTTCTCTAACGCGTCTACCAACCTATCAACGCCCCTACCTTTCGTTACTCGCGGCGGCGATTTCGGCGAGTGGCGCCGCTCATACCTGTGGTCACGCGGCGACTGAGAGCGCTGACGACGGCGTTCGTATCTATCTCGCGGCGACGGCGAGCGATAATAGCGGCGTTCGCGCCTATCCTCTCGCGGTGACGGTGAGCGATAATAGCGGCGTTCGCGCCTGTCCTCTCGCGGCGACGGTGAGCGATAATAGCGGCGTTCGCGCCTATCTTCTCGCGGCGACGGTGAGCGATAATAACGTTGCTCGCGCCTGTACTCCCCCCGTTCCGTTCTATGGTTCGCATAGACACGCGGAAGAGCCTCTCGGGCGCCCTCCCCTCGTTCGCCTCGCGGATCGCGTGAGGTTAACGGAGGGGGTAGTTCTACCTGCTGCCTAGCTCGATCGCGTTTATCTAGCCATTCGTTGATCCGTACCGTAGTCTCAAACGGATTCTCAACGACGCTCTCACGCTCGCTAGCGTCAGCTTCTTCACGTGTGGCCTGCGCGGCGAGCCTTTCCTGAATGAGCGCGGCCTGCAAGTCTAAATGTCTACGCCTAACGTTCATGTCTTCTAACTCCGCTTCTAGCTCGGCTCTAGCGCGCGCGGCCGAGCTAGACGCCGAGACACGCGAACGAGCGGAAGTACTCCCTACCCTACACGCGGCGGGACGCGATTCCGTTACGCGTGCTAAAGTCGCGGCGGCGTGAACATTACTCAACGGCGGTGCGGGCCTAGAGGATTCGACATTGCCTACTTGATTAGTCTGGAGACTACTATCGTCCCCCGGGGGATCGTTCGGGATAACGCTCGCGGCGAGTTCGGACGGCGACTGCGGCGGTTCCTCGAAGACGCGCGGCGGTATCGCGCCTAATTGCTGCTTCCTATGTTCCATGGCGGCTGGCTCGTCCTCCCCGATACCTTGACTCCTAGTCCTAGGCATAAAGCCTCCTATCGCCCTAACACCCTAAGTCTTGAAGATCGGCTCCTGTGCCTTGAAAAAGGCAGTCTTCTTGCCTCGAAAGAGGCAGTTTGCCCGTAATGCCTGCGTTTGTCACCGTTAGGTGCAGGCAACGGGAGATGAAACTTAGGACCTTGAAACTTAGTATGTTGAAACTCAGAACCTTTGGCGGACCTTAAATCTGCCACTTTTACGCGGTGCTTCGTGATGTGATGGCTTCGGCACTTCGCGCACGTTGTCCTAGCACGGAGGACACGTTGGCTTCGGCTCTTCGCGCACGTTGTCCTAGCACGGCGGACACGTTGGCTTCGGCTCTTCGCGCACGTTGTCCTAGCACGGAGGACACGTTGGCTTCGGCTAACTTTTCGTGAAGCGTGGGGTTCGTTCGTACCCACGTCGATACAATCTATGATCTTCGTTTTCTTCAGCGCCGTGTGGGGGTCGTTCGTACCCACTACGACACACGATGATCTTCACTCTTCAGTCTTCGTGAAGCGTGGGGTTCGTTCGTACCC